AGATTATGAAACTCCATATATTAAATGTAGGATAGATATCAACTAACCATAGCTTTCAGAACCCTTTTAATATTATTATGCAAATCTCTGCTGAAAACTAACATGGGTAAAGTACCTATTGAAAATCAGGCACTAGGCTAGGAAGTTTTATATTTAATCTTCACCTCAAAGCAAGTTAGCTGAAGAAACCAAGTCGTAGAAAAATTAAGGGACTTGGAAAAGTCTGAAGAGAGATTCAAATCCAAAGTGGGACTAGCTCATCCCCTTTTCATTATAGTATACTGTGAAGCAAGTTACAAAAGCAAAAGCACAGTCAAGAATACACTTTAAGCATTCTATAGAGTGCTATTTTGGCTCACACTGCCCTTAAGGCTATTAATAACATACAGGACACATCCCTGTAATAGCACTGATCTTTTTGGAAAGAAAATGTTCATTATTTCAAATTCATTCATGCAGTATGAACCCTAAGATCTCTAATTCAACAATGGAAGAGCTAATATAATTAGCAGCTGCAGTAAATTTTTTTCAGTAGAGCCAGTAAATTTCCATCACTAAGATTGGTTTCAAAAACCTGTTCATCTGGTTTTTTCACAATCTCAGTTAGTGATTACTTCTTTCTACTTTACTAGTGTTACTTTTATCCTTTCCTCCAAGATACAATACTCTTAACTCTACATTCCAATAAAAAGGAAAAAAGAGAAGAAAAAAAAAAAAAGAAGATTCACTGGCTAATCAGTCTATCCAAGTTACCTTAGTGATGTGAAGAGATACTCATCCTTCAGGAACAGATGTCCTAAAGACATCTCAAGAATCACTAGATGAGATGACTAGCAGATGTTTAAGCTAATATTCAGACAACAGTCAAAATCCACTTAAACATTTATTATTTAAGAATATTATTATTCTAAGATATGGTGGCAATTACCTTGGATCGTTATACAATCATTACTCAAGTTTTTGAACTCAATAAATTCTAGATATTAAAAGGGTAAAAAATGTTGCCAAATGATTATTTTAAATAGCTAACTTTATTGAAGGTAGAATAACATTCAGATAAGAATTATAGACAAAACAAAGAAAGTTTAAGCACAGGCTAAAGATTCAGGTTATGCAGGAAACAGACAAGTATCTTGAGTAGATAGAAAGGTGACAAGAACTGAAACATCCATGGCTTTTCTAAGAAATAAGAGAAACCGGCTGTTTAAAGCTCTCAAAGAAAAGATTATGTCCTATTAATAGTAAACTATAATGGGATTACTTTAGTTTGTATTACATATAGTGTATTTGTTTACGCCACAAAATTCCTCAAAAAACTGAAGAACTTCTATGAGAACTTCTGTATAACTCCCAGTAAGAGAGAAAAAACTGATTTGATCCTATGAAACATTAATTTTTAGCAAGTTTTTTCCACTGAGAATTATCTTTCTCACATTTTTTGCTACGTTAAGTCCTTACAACTGTTAAAATTGCTAATTATTAATTGTTAAAATTGTTAATTATGTCTAGAAGTTTTAAAGTGTATCTTCTCAAACAAAAAAGAGTACTGAAGTAGGTACCTATCCAAGTTCTCTTTCTGCCATGAAGCCATTCCTATTTTTTTCACCATGCCTGAAATCTGCTTTGTCCTGCACACTCCAAATAAACATTCTACCAGAAACATATACATATAAACACAATAATTAATACTTAATTTTTTTTTGATTTTGTAATTTCCAAGGGGGAAAAAAGCACATGAATGGTGAGAAAATGAAAAGATTACATTTGCAATAGTGGCCAAATGGCACAACAGGTTTATTTAGTAGCGTTAGAAGAAATACAAAAAGAAAAAAAAAGGAAATACAGAAAGCAGGAAGAAAAATATTCAGTGGTTGATGGAACATGTAGCACAAGGATTGAGTAAATGCTTATCATAAAATATCTAATATGCATTATACAAAAGAAAAACTTGGTTTATCTAAAAACTATTAGTAGCAGGACTTAGATTCTTATAACATCTCTTAAAGAACTTTGCTATTTAGTATACCATTATAAATTTCAAACATTAACAAGCAAAAAGAAAGCTTAAACTTAAAATAATAAATTTAATCAAATACCTTACATAGCTGTAACCAAGAAAACTAACAACCACAATTAAACCTAGACTTAAGAAATAGTTACTTTCAGTTATCTGTACTCTTGCCAATTATTCATGTAATCCAACAGGTAAATGTTTAAGATTTCCTTGAGTTTACATCCCTTAAATTAAAAAAAAATTTTTTTGAAAAATAATCCGTGGTCTTCCATGTCTGAAAGTCGTATTTTAATGATTTCTACTCAGGAAGAAAGATGAACATCATCACTGCATTTTTTGCATATGCTTTTACTATTATTTGTTGATCCTCCTTGAACAAGTATTAGCATTATTGAATCTGATTTCCTTCCATTAAAAACAAAGAATCCATGTACTATGTTAAGTACAAGGATAAACTATCTTAAAAATTAGTTTTGCCAATATATGCATAAATAAGTAATGTCAAAAGACTAGTCTTTTCTCATTAAAGTGTTAGTCGCTCAGGCCTGTCAGACTCTTTGCAACCCCATGGACTGTAGCCTGCCAGGCTCCTCCTTCCATGTATTCTCCAGGCAAGAATAATGGAGTGGGTTGCTATTTCCTTCTCCAGGAGATCTTCCGGACCCAGGGGTGGAACCCGGGTCTCCGGCATTAGAGACACAGAAATATAAAACAATCAGTTTAATATTTTGGATTGACATTACAGTTTACTAAAACTATTAAGATTCAAAGTAAAAAAAAAAAAAACAACTAGATACAGAAATTCTGTAATAAAAAAAAAAAGAAATTCTGTAATAGCTTCCTATACTGGGATAAAATACATATATGCAAATATTTTCATCAAAAAGTGATTAAGTACCTTTAAATTGGCATTTCCTCCCCTCATTTCTAGCTATAGGTTTGCATTAGAAAAAATACTTCAAAACTGCCACAAAGAACTAGTTTTCAGTAAACAGTTAATAAATAATTCAACAAATCTATCATCACTCTGCGAACAGTATAACAGAAAAACAGTGTTAAACAATTAAAATTTAAGTGGTTAAATACAGTCTGGTCTAGAACACATAGTACTTGGTATCAGTAGATTTATGACACAGATGCTCATTAGTTATCTCCTATTTCCCAGAGAAAGAAAAATGGCTTGATTTTTCTCTCTTCACGAATATTATCAGCTGTTTAAAGTATCTGAAACTTCGCTAGTTGTTTAATTATCAGAACTTGTAAGCAAAGACTTTTTTTTTTTTAAACGTTTATGCCCCAATAATCTGTCATCTCAGTCCTTTCTCTGGAAGTAAGCGTCAAGGTGAAGGGACTTGTAAAAGATGCCACACGCGTTCAAGGCATTCAACAATTAGTAAAATATCAATTTCATCAATAAAATATTTATACATCTCTTAAAAATCAAGGGTGTCTTAAGCATTGAGTGGTTTTAATCGGTAGTGGGTTTTTTTAAGTGATACATAAAATACTGACACCCTTCTCTTTACAATACATGGTGGTGTTTAGTTGCTACTCCTGTCTGCCTCCTTTTCAACCCCATGGACCGTAGCCCGCCAGGCTCCTCTCTCCATGGGATTTCCCAACAACAATACTGGAGTGGGTTGCCATTTCCTTCTCCAAGGGATCTTCCCTACCCAGGGATCAAACCGAATCTCCAGTATTGGCAGGCGGATTCTTTACCGCCTAGCCACCAGGGAAGCGCTTGCAAGACACAGCATCTTATTATTCCATGAAATATGGCAACTGTGTTTCAGAATTACAAGTTTTAACCACAAAAGACAGCCTTATTTTACAGATGAGGAAAATGACAGCTCAATTAAGAGATACTCCCACTGTCATAAAATCAGGAGCAAAATAGACTGAAACTCAGGTCTTCTGGTTCCCAGTGATGTCCTTTCCATTAGAGAACCCGCCTAATGAAATGAATCACGTGAGAAAACTATCTGGGTTTTAAATTACTTATTACACAGATATCCAATATAATCTCTCTCTATATAAAAAGTTGATCACTTAGGAGCCCTGTATGCTTACAGCCTGAACCTAGAGCCTCTCAGAATGACTCAAAAGTAACAAAATCTAATTTTTTTTTTTTCTTTTGAGAAGATATATAACGAAATACAGACACTTCAGAAATTAGAGCTTCCCTTAAGGTAGCGATTTCATATGGGGCATTTCACTAACTGTACCCCACTAGCCCTTTTCATTTCTCCGGAGGAAAAAGAGCCGCCCAGGGGAATTACTGGCCCACCTGGAGCCTAATCGCAATAGCTGCAACAAGGCAATGGACTCATTTGTCAGCACTAGAAACTTCGCGCATCTTTTCCAGTCTACCAGCTACACAATTCACAGGTGGTTGGTGTGTTTACCTCTCTCCTCGCAGGGAAAACTAAATCAACCAAAAGAATGCGATGACACCCGCAGTTGGTTTTGCGGGGCTCAGGTGGAGGACCAGGTGAGATTACGGGACGCAGGAGAAGGCACCGAGAAAACGACACGTTATCTGGGCTCCGCGGCCCGAACACCCGGCGAGGAGAGGCAGCGCGCGGGCCGGGGCGACCCCCGACTCCCTCAGAGAAGCCCTCGCCCACTCTCTCCATCCCCAAGTGATCGGAGGCGGGGACCGGCCCGCGGGGGCTGGGGGACCGCAGGGGCCTCGGCCTCCGCTCCCTCCCTCAGCCCGCCGGGCGGGGGCGGCGGCGCGGCTCCGAAGCCGCGGGAGGCCATTTTAGCTGCGGGGCCGCCGAAGGCCCCGGCGGCCCTCCGCGGCCCCCAGCCTCGCCTTCTTCTCGCTCCCGCCCCGGGCCGTGAGAGGCCGCGGGCCCGGCCTGCCACTGGCCGGGACTCCGGGGGGAGAGGGAGTAGCGGCGGGCGCGGGGCCGTCGCGTCGGCGAGATCCCGGCGGAGGGGCGGGCAGGGGGAGAGGAGGGAAAGAGCGGGGAGCCGTTACCTATACTGGGCCGCAGCCGCCGCCGCCGCCGCCCCGCTGTGGGTGAATCCAAAGTAGTTGCCGGTCGCCATTTTGGCATCTTCCCCCAGCCGGCTGGGCACTGCGACGGGCAAGGAGAGTCGGGTCCCATGGCGGGAGAAAAGGCGCCGAGGGGCAGAGTCGCCGAGGGAGGGAAGGGGTAGAGAGAGAGAGAGGCGCCGTGAGAAGCCGCCCTCGTCGGGCCGCGGCCGCGCCGCCTCCCCCTCCCGCCTCGCACTCCCTCACTCACTCGCACGCCCCGGTGGCGGCGGCCGCCGCCTCCTCCCCGGAGCCTGCCCCAACCCCCGCGCCTCCCCGCCGCCCCGAGCCGGGGAAGGGGCCGGGCGGGGACCCCGGAGGGGCACATTATACTCACCATAGGTGAAAGAAACTACAGGGCATATGGGAATCATGGGCTCGGGCTGCTGCAGCTGAACTCTGAACTCTCACCCGCTGCCTCCCTCCTCAGCCCCGCTCCTCCTCAGCGGAGAACAGACCGCCGCCTCCAGCTGCACTGCGCAGGCGCGGCCGCGCGCGGCACTCTGGGAGCTGTAGTCCCGCCGCCTTCGCGGCTCGGGCGGGCGCGTGCCGGGCCTCAACCGAGGCGGGCCTGGGGCGTCCTCCGAGGGAGGCGGGTCTGGCTTCCTCCGCGACGGTGACCGAGGCGAACCGCCCCGGGCCGGCCGAGAGGAGGAGTGAGAGAGAGTGACTGGAGAGAGTGACGTCTACCAGTCTTTTCTTCTTACTTTTCACTTCTTTTCACTGTTGCGTGTGCATTTGTTTTTCTCCCTTTCAGCCCTTTTCCAACCCTTGCCCTTTTCATCAGGATTTGAACTGGACTAATCTGGATTCTTTTTCTCCGTATTTCTCTCAATCCCGCTTCTTGTCCTTAGCCTTTGAAGTGGAGAGTGAAAGACGGGGAGGGGAGAAAGAGAAAAAGAATGGCAGGTGTGCTGTGGCGTTGGCTACCCCTTCCGAATTAGTCTCTTCCGGTCGCCTTTCTCTCACCCGCGCCCACTCCCGTGATTCCGAGGACGTGTATGGAGCCTCCACAAAGCGTCAGGCCCCGTTCTGGGTGCTGGAGATAGAGCAGTGAGCAAAACAAAGTCCGCCTTCAAACGGAATTTACCTTCTGGGAAACGGGGAGGGGAGGGGGGTGGTGAAATTCAGACAATAGCCAAATAGTCTGTCGGCCGGTTGATTGCAGCTTTAAGAATAAAGCAGAGTAGGAGTTAGAGAGGGAGGGAGGTGCTTCTTTACTAGGGTGTGGTTAGGGAAGCCGTCGAGTAAACCCCCGGGAAGTGTAGAGATAAACCTGGTGTAGATGGTTGCTGGAAGAGCAGCAAATGGAGGACCCTAAGGCAGGAGTGCTCAAGAGCAGCAAGGAAGTTAGTCTGGCTGGAGTCTAGTGACAGGGAGTCGGGATCAGAACAGTCTTTGCTAAGAGAGCCTAATCTGTCAGTGTCAGGACCGGAGGGCACTCTTCCCCCGTGCAGGCGTGTCTTTGTTCCCTCTGCTTTCTCACTGTTTTCTCTCTACTTTGCCTGTGCATTTTCAACCATTCTCTTTCCTCTTGCAATCCCTCGTCAGATTGTTTCTATTTCTCCCGCCTTATCTCTTTCCCTGCCTTCCACCAGCGCCTAAGTGCTGCACTTGACCTCTTCTTCACGGTGTTAGCGCCCATCCCCCAGACCCTCTGCTTGGTATCTATGTGTTAAGTCCTGTCCCGACTCTGGACTGTGGCTCCTCTGTCCACAGGATTTTCCAAGCAAGGTTACTGGAGTGGGTTGCCGCTGGGGAATCTTCCCGACCTAGGGATCGTACATACGTCTCTTGGGTCTCCTGCATTGGCAATCGGATTCTTTACCACTAGGCCACCTGGGAAGCCCTCTCCTGCCAGGGCAGAGATAATACCTCAGTTCTTATATGTGCCGGTCCTGCTCCCCCCATACCTCCTACAAAGGCACAGGTTCTGAAATCCTGTCTGCATTATCCTCTTACTCATTTCAAAACAGAGAAAATGTATATTTGAGATAAGTTAATGTCATTGTTTTTGAGAATGCAGATGTTTCCCCAGGCAAAAGTTATTTGTGGTCCAAGTGTGTTGCTAGGGGAAAAAAAAAAAGATCTCCTTCACTCAGAATATTAGAACTGCGTTTTAAAAGTAATTTGCCTTGAACTTCAGGGAGCAATCAAGCCTTCAAGGTGCTGACTGTAACTGCTTTGATAAATTTGCACAATTAGTTGCTAGGCTACTTGAATAAAACTGGCGGAGAAAAGACAGGTGTTAATCACCTGACCAAGAAGATTCTTTTTTGGCCAGTTTTGTGCTTGGTTGGTTGGCAGGCATTTGAGGATAGAAGAGGACTGTGGGCACACCCCAGTGAGCAGGCAGGTAACTGGAAAGAGGGAGGCATGCCTTTTCTCTTTTGTAACTATTCCTAGAGATCAGGGTAGGTGTGGCATCAGGAAGGGCCTCAACTTGGCCCCGACTTGGGTTTATTTAAGGAAGGAGTTTTGGAAGCAGCTGGGAATCAAGAGGACTCAGGTCCTTTTCCTGGGCATTTTGTAGTGGAATGACCTAAGCACATTGTTTAGCCTTTCTGAACCTATATGACTGGAATAACAATAACCCTCACAGGATTGTGGTGGGGTTTCAATGAAGTAGCATTTCTTTTCTTTTTTTTTTTGAAGTAGCATTTCTATAAAACAACAGTCCTTCACACTTCAGACAGACGATGGGTTCAAAATGCAAATCTGATCAAACCCCTTTGTGCTCCACCTCCCTCTTAGGATAAATCAAAAGTTCCACATGGCTTACAAGCCCTGTGTGGTCTGACCTTGCCACCTCTTCAGCATCTTCCTTCTGTTAACCTAAATAGTGGGTGGGTCTCAAGTGTGCTTGTTACTTTCAGAAGCCAATAAACAGGTCAGCTTGGTGGAAAGGAAGGTTTGCTTTATTTCAGATGCTGGCAACTGGGGGGTAGTGTGGGGAGCAAGGGTGTATGTCCAAAGGCTGACTCCCCCAACCCTGATGAGCAGGGGGTGAGAACTTTTATAGACACATTGCGGGGAGTGGGGGCTACATGCAGAAACAACACAGTCTTCTCTGACAGTCCTCTTCAAATTGGTCATCGGTGGTCTGACCAGCATCATCTTGGTTGTTTTAGGTATACAGTTAATCTTCAGTTCCCGAGTCCATTTGTTCCCATTTCTTTGTGGCTAGTTCTTAGTATTGTGGCAGCTCTTGTCCTGGGGACAGTCCGGTCCTCGTGTAGTTAACTTCTCCACCTGGTGTTTTGGTGTCTGTAAGACAGCTCACAGGATATGGCTGAGAATATTATCTATAGCCCTTGAGAAAAAGTTAGAGTTTCTTGGCTGTGCTTAATGACTATATTATTTTTATTTAATCTCCTTTGACTGTTTTACTTTGTTTTAGTATGTCTCACTTCTCTGATTAAACTTATTTTTTGACTGAAGTTTTCCACAGACAAAAGGCAGGCAGAGGACAGGAGTGGGGGGTGGATGGGGAGGACTATTAGGGTCCTGCTCCATTTTACTCCTGATTCTCTCCATTCCAGCTTCCTTAGCCTGCTATTTACCATGCTCTGTCCCACCCCAGGACTATCATGTTCTCCTTGCCTAGAATGTTCTCACCTCGCTTCACCCAGTTAATCCTCATGCTTCAAGGTCTCCACTCAGCCAACCCCTCCTCAGTCTTCTATGATCCCCTGGCTGGATCAGACCCTTATCATGCCTTTGGTACTTCATTTCCCTTATCACAGAATTATTTGATTAATATGTATTTCCCCCCATCAGACTGTAGTTTTTTGAAGGTAGGGTGCCAATACTGGGTGCCTGGTGGTAGAACTTATTTAGTGAATGAACCAGCTGTGCACAGCTTGATCTTCCTTGGATGATTCAGAAGGCAGTTCACACCTGCCTGTGAACCAGTTCACACCTGGTGTGAACCTGTTGCACCTCAGGGTCATCATGAGAAACCTTAAATAGCATCTGAGGTCAAAGAAGGATATGTCAGTTGGCAGACAAGGTGGAGCCAGGAGGACTGCCCATAAACTCTCCTGAAATATATCTAACTGCCTTTCCTCACACCTTTCTGTCAAGAACTGGTATACTAAAAGGGTTTCTTAATACAAACGTGTCAGCCAGAAAAGATAATATACAAATAACTCTATACCAAGACAGGGCTTCCCAGGTGGTGCAGTGGTAAAGAATTTGCCTGCCAATGCAGGAGATGCAAGAGGCACAGGTTCAATCCCTGGGTCTGGAAGATCCCCTGGAGGAGGAAATGGCAACCCAGTATTCTTGCCTGGAAAATTCCATGGACAGAGGAGTCTGGCAGGCTACAGTCCATGGGGTGGCAGAGAGTCGGACACAACTGACCACACTGACAGGGATACCAAGAGGAGTACAGCATAATGAATAAGACTCTGATGCTGGGCCCAACTGGCTTCAGATCTCAGCTCTGTCACTCACTGCCGTAACTCACCTCAGTCACAACCTCTTTGTGCCTCATTTTTCTCCTCTGTAAATAGAGATGATGAAAGTACTACCTACAGCAGGGGGTTGCTAGTAGAGTTTCACAGTGTCCTAGATGCCTGGCCACTGCAAGCACTTTGTGAGCGTTGGCTATTATTCCAACCACCACCCTCTCTTGTTACAATAAAAAATGAGCCAAAGGATGGGAACATATTTTTGTGGCAAGGGGGAAAGGAGACCAAGCCCCACATGGCATAAAATGGGAGGTTCCTAGACAGTGACAGTGAAAGACCAGGAAGCAGGCCCATCTAAAGTCTTACCTCCTTCCCCACGCCTTCTTCTCTCTACCCTACCTTCCCCTCTGCTCTCCTCACCTCCTTTGGAGGAATAACTGTCGTCTAGAAGATATGTTGACTGAACAGGTACTCTTTAGAAGCCAGTTAAGGTTTTTTCTTGAGTTTTGGCCAATGGATGGTGGATGGTGGCTAAATGGATGGATATGTTAGGACTTTTGAAATAGTTAAGAAACAAACTGAGAACTGTAATCCAGGATCAGATAGTAGGGTAATCCACAGAGATTAAATGTATCCTTGATAAATACAGTGACAGCTGCTGGAGTGAAAGGAAATTTAGTGCAGATCATGTTATTTATCTCAGTAAGAAAGTTCGTTATATAGTAGTTTGTTCTAGGGCCAGATTTGATGGGTTCCTATTCTACTCACACTACTTATTAGTTGTGGAGATCTAGGGCAAGTTGTATAACCTCTCTGGATCTCAGTTACTCCAGGAACTAATGATGTCTAGTTTATATGATTGTTGTGGGTATTACATGAATTAAGACCTGTAAAATCCTTGGAACATTGCTTGGCACATGAGAAGTGCTCAGTGCAATCCTTTTGGTTGCCACCAAGAC